GTATACAATCCAACAATTTTCAGTCAGGTCATCTGGACAGTTTCTTTGTTTTTAATAACTGGTTTGTTCCACTTTGGAGGAAGCTGTTTGGGGAAGAATCAGTTTGTGTTGTGTGTTTCCTTGACTGGTGAAGCCTTCAGGATGGAAGGTGAAACGTTTCAGCACCAAAAAAAAGAAAAGAAAAGAAACTATCCAGATGACCTGACTGAGAATTGTTGGAGTTTGTCACTCACTTTCTATTCCAGCTGTTTCATTTTCACAGCCTGGTACTCGTCGTCACAGAGTCCAGAAACCTTAGACCATGATTTGACAAATCCAGCTCTGCATTCTAACACTGACTCTCATGATGGAGGTAAGAAGCAGGTTAGACCAGACTTTACGTTCTAAAAATAAGAGCTGCCAAGCATCCCGTCTGCGTGTGGCGTGCTGTGAATGCAGGGTACTATCCTAAGAAATGCTGTTCTGTGAAAATAGCGTGACAGGAGCTGATTATGTTGTCATTTGTGTGAATACAAGACAAAGTGACAGCTCTGAGCTCAGCCAATGTAAGGTGATGAAGTGTGTGCATGCTGTCTCTTCACAGCTGTGCAGACGTAGTTCTAATCTCCTGCAAATCATCACATATAGCTCAACAGAATGCTCCGTGGCAGGGGACAAAAAGCTAACCCAGACTTTCAGAGCAGGGCATTGCTCCATCTCGCTTTAGATTTCTTGAAATTGAACCGCCTCCCCTGCAGCATGCATGGTGTCCCTCTTTCTCACTAACCGACAAAGGATTACTGCCTCCTGATTTAGATTCCAGATCCCTTTTTTCTGCCCACTGCGCGTGCCGAAACCGGATATGCAATGACCCTGGTGAGTGCCTCTCGCAGGTCCTTTCAGATCCAGACACAGGCTGGTCCCTTCGTCCAGTGGTCCAGGTGTGACCGTATGCCGAGTACGAAGAACTCAGCACTGAGACTGTGATACACGAGGCTGCATGGAAAAGACTGGTGCAGTGTAGCACACAGTGAGGGTGCTTTTTGCAAAAAGCGCATGTAGCAGAAGCATCACACGTCAATTTCTAGGTATCAATCTTTGTGTATCATGTCAAGGTTCTTTATTGTCATTCGCATCACATGTGGTACATGAGGTGGAACGAAATTGTGTACACAGGGTCTCAGTTACATCTAACAATAGCAAAAGAAAAAGTATACAAGGATATAAGATATAAACCAAGAAATACACTAAACTACATGAAACCAGGATGATGAGTTACAACAACATTTAATTTCCCTCTGGGATTGATTAAGTATTTTTGAATTGAATTGAACTGAAACTAAGAATATATTAAACACCAAAGTCCATGCTCAATAATCCAGGTATAAAATCCAACAATTTTCAGTCAGGTCATCTGGACGGTTTCTTTCCATTTTTTTGGTGCTGAGACGTTTCGCCTTCCATCCAGAAGGCTTCATAAGTCTGAAGAAACACCAAACAAAACTGATTCTCCCCTAACAGCTTATTCCAAAGTGGAAAAAACCCCCAGTTATGTTAGTGCTAAGATGGTCTCCGGTGCCCACCCTCTCCCTCGTCGACAGTCATGTCAAACTGCTTTGGTGTTGTGAAGCATTTTGACATGACTGTCGACGAGGGAGAGTTCAGGCACCAGAGGAGAGGGCATGCCCCAGAGGTCTTAGCACCAACATAACTGGTTTTTTTCCATTTTAGAGTAAGCTGTTAAGGGAGAATCAGTTTTGTTTGGTGTTTCCTCAGACTGATGAAGCCTTCTGGATGGAAGGCAAAATGTCTCAGCACAAAAAAAAAAAAAAAAAAAAAAAAAAAGAAACCGTTCAGATGACCTGACTGAACATTGTTGGAATACACTAAACACTAATAGTGTAAAACAACATGAAGAACAACAGCAGCACAAACATGAGTCAGTGTGAGCAGATGAGGACGAATGAACACAGCAGCATGAACTAAATCAGCAGCATGAACTAAATCAGCAGCATGAGATCAGCAACATAGACAATCAGCAGCACATATCAACAATCAAAGTGGCATTACAGTGATTTTTTTTCTTCCCACAGTGATTATCCTGATTAGGGATTCATGAGTCTAACAGCTTCATGATGCAGGTGGCCCTCTTCCTGCATCTGGTGGTGTAGATGTCTGTGATGGTGGGGAGGCTGACTCCAACAGTCTTCTGTGCAGCCTTCACCACTCTCTGTAAGACCTATAAGTTCAAAACTCATTTGACTTAAAATCTTTCAGTTCAAATACAGTTGGACGTGCAAAAACGGTGTCCTTCCTTGTCCTACTGCAATGAATGTATGATTTTGGAAGATTTTTCAACAAAAAGTTCAACATAGAGCGTAAAGACGTCGCACAATTTACCGTCAATTT